AAATAAAAGAAAAAAAAAAAAAGATAAAAATTGTATACCACCTGTGTGAAGCAATTGCTGTGAATGGAACTTGCCGGACTAGAAGTTGCTCTGGGTTAATCAGTGAGCGGTGAGTGAATGTGGAGGGCTAGGACATTACTGAACACTGCTGAAGACTTTATAAACACTTTAGACTTAGGCTACACTAAATTTATTTAAAAATTTTATTCAATAAATTAGCCTTAGTTTCTTTTTTATTTTATGAACTTTTTAATTTAAACCTTTGATTTTTTTTTTTTTTTTTGAGACTATTTCCCTCTTGTAACCTAGACTGGAGTGCAGTGGTGTGATCGTGACTCATTCCAACCTCCGCCTCCGAGGTTCAAGCGATTCTTCTGCCTCAGTCTCTCCAGTTGTTGGGATTATAGGCACGCACCACCATGCCTGGCTAATTTTTTGTATTTTCAGTAGAGACAGGGTTTCACCACATTGACCAGTCTGGTCTCAAACTCCTGACCTCAGGTGATCTGCCTGCCTTGGCCTTTCAAAGTTCTGGGATTACAGGGGTGAGCCACCGCGCCTGGCCTTTGATTCTTTTTAATAACACTTGTCCGAAAACAAACACATTGTACAGCTACAGAAAAAGATTTTCTTTATATCTTTATTTTACAAACTTTCTAATTTTTTTTTTTTTTTTTTTTTTTTTTTTTTTACTTTTGTAAAAGACTCAACACACACATTAGCCTAGGTCTGCATAGGGTCAGAACCATCAATATCACTATGTCTTCCACCTCCACATCTTATTTCACTGAAGGTCTTTAGGGGCAATAACACACATGGAGCTGTCATCTCCTATGAGAACAATCCTTCTTCTGGAATACTTCCTGAATGACTTTCCTGGGGCTGTTTTACAGTTAATTGTGTGTGTGTATTTTTTTTTTTAATAAATAGAAGGGATACACTGTAAAATGACAAAGTATAGTATAGTAAATGCATAAGCCAGTAACATAGTCGTTTATTATCATAATCAACTATTATGTACTGCACATAATTGTATGTGCTAGACTTTTACATGACCGTCACTGCAGTAGTTTTATTTACACCAGCATCGCCACAAACACATGAGTAATGTGTTGTGCTATGGTGTTATGATGGCTACAGTGTTTCTAGGTGATAGGAATTTTCAGCTCCATTTTAATCTTATGGGACCGTCATTGTGTATGTGGTCTGTCGTTGACTGAAACATCATTATGCAGTGCATGACTATACTTCAGACTTTTTCATATTTTTCCCTACTAAGAAATCAACATCAATTAAAGTTTATGTCAACCATTTTGAGTGAAAAGTATAAACATTATTTCATTCAACAGGTCTCTGGAAAAGTTTCTTTGATGTCCACAATTCCTGTGAATCAAGATGGACTAATTATATTTTTGAGTTCATGTCTAGACACTCTTGAAAATTGTTGCAGCAGTATTTCCCATATCTGTTTCAACTGCTCCTCTCTAGGCAAACTAGTATCCCAGCCTTCTGCCAGCTACTAGCTACATGTAGAGGTATATGAAGTAGATCTTAGGCTTTCCACTTTTTCTGTATATTCCTATACTTAATAATCACCAAACTCTCGCAGGCCCTTAATATATGTTAGTAATGAGCATCTTTCGGTTTTATCACTTTTTACCATTTTCTTGCCTGATACATGCACTAAATTGAATCAACAGGGCCAGTTGCTTCCTACCAGAAGCCTTGGTTTTCTGGGGAAATTTGTAAAGATCTCTAGATTAGTTCTTGATTTGGCATGACTGATTAAGCAAGCAGCTGTTTACTAAGAGGCCCAGCTGAGAGTAGAACAATTTAATTAGCTTCTGTCAAGCCTTAAATGGAAGCCACAGCTTGAATATATGGAGCTCTTTATTTAGTTTTAAATGAAACTAAATAAAGGGAGACTCTCAACATATATCTCAAAGTCTAACCTGAAAATAATTCTGTTGAGAATAATAGTATTCATCCAGTATAACAAAGACTTAAAAACTTGATTTTGGCAGGGGCGATGAAGTACATTTTTTAATGGAGAATTGTTTGAGTGCTTTTAAATATATTAGTTAAATGAACAATTTATAAAATGGGTAGGGTATGATATAAATGTTTTATGACAGCTTTTAGCATTCATGAAATAAATGGCTTGTATACATTTAATTTTAACAAAACTAAATGAGCAGCCCATACCCAACTACTACTCTGGGACCAGCAGAGAGCATACAAAAGTTTTCAGGGCAAACCTCCTCACATTGAAGATTAGATTCTCCATTCTCTTCTGATTACTGATTATATATATATTTTTCCAACTTTGTGTCTATCTGGCTTCCTATTTGCTTTAATCTTAGAAAAGCATTATTCTCCTTACATCCCACTTAACAAATTATGGTGATGCTTAATTTATCTATAAAACTGTTATGTATTATTCGGTTAATATTAAACCTAGACTAAAAGGTCACAAATTAAAATTTTAATACTCAGTAAACATATGTTATTAAAAAGTAAAGGAGCAATAAAGTTAATGGAGTCTCATAGAGAAGAATTGTAATACCAATATTTTTATTAAGCACAGACACACAAAAATGAGGAAAGAATTCATTATAGATATACGAATTCTGTCAGAAGGGGCCCCGTGGGAGACTGATTCTTATTACCATATCCTGGTTGGAAGGGAATGAAGTGGGGTTATTGCTAGTGCAGTCAATGATTTGCCTTTTCTCTGGTGAATTGACTTCAGTAGGTGACTTTATTTCTTCGCGTTAGGCAGCTGGAAATGTGTATTGATTTATTTCCTTTTCATTGGAGGATCAGCTCTATCAAAGATGGAGCCATAGAAATGTTATATTTGCTGGATATGAGCAAATGTTTTAGTGCCTTTTTTTTTTTTTTTTTCTTGGTCTGAATGTTCCTAAGATTTTTAGGAGCCAAATAAAGTTCAGCTCAATGAAATAGAAAACTCACTTTGACTGTGCATAGATTTGTAGTACTATTCTCTCTGCTAACTCTATTGTTAAGACCTGAAGCTCTTTTATAAAACTCTTTTTTTTTTTTTAAAAGGGATAAAAAGTCCTGTAGTCCTTTTTCTCCAAGAATATGTGTGATTGAAGAACATGTTTTTAAAGTTAAATTCTCATTTATGCAGGACAGTGTTAGCTGTGGAGGGTATTCAGGTTCTTGGCGTTTTGAACACAGAATGGGACTAAATGCACAAATAAAGCAAGGAAAGAAGCAACAAAAGCAGAGATTCATTAGAAAATGAAAGTACACTCCACAGAGTGGGAGAGGGTCCTACCATAGGGGCTCAAGAGCCTGGTTACAGAATTTTCTGGGGTTTAAATACCCTCTAGAGGTTTCCCATTGGTCACTTGGTGAACACCCCATGCAAATGAAGTAGTGCCCCAAAATCAGACTGATTGATTGAGGAAAACCAATCAGAGGCTGAAGTTACAGAGTTACACTTCTATGCTAGGTGTGGTGGTTCACACCTAGAATCCCAGCAGTTTGGGAGGCACAGGTGGGGCGGATTACGAGCTCAGGCGTTCCAGACTGGTCTGGCTCAACATAGTGAAACCCTGTCTCTACTAAAAAATACAAAAATTAGCCGCCTGGTGGCATGTGTCTCTAATCCCAGTTGCTTGGGAGGCTGAGGCAGGAGAACTGCTTGAACCTGGGATGTTGCAGTGAGCGGAGATCACACCACTGCACTCCAGCCTGGGCAACAGAACAAGATTCTATGTTGAAAAAAAAAAGTTACATTTGTGTGCAAATGAAGACTTAGCTGGCAGTTGGTCAGATTGATTGGAGAAAGCAATAGAGGCTGAAATGAAGTTATAAAGTTACATTCCTATGTAAACATTTGATTGGTTGAGGAAAGCAGCCAATCATAGGTACTTTCAATTTTTCATTTGCCACTCAGAAAAGTGGGAGGGGTTTGCAAAGGGAGTAACTTCCAGTTCTTTTATTACTTAGGTTTCGAAAGTTGGGGTTTTCCCTTTGATTTAGTTTTAGGAAGTCAGCATGAATTGGCCTCAGGTTCCCTGCTTCAAGACTCCATTCTCTTGCCTTAACAGTGGTATGACCCTTTTCTAAGACTGTGTTCTTCTTAAGATTTTAATTTTTTAAAAAATGTTCTTTGTCCTGCTGCAAAATTCGTTTCATTTTGTTTTTTAATTATGTAATTATATTTTGTTATTGCAGGCAATGTTAGTTCTATGATTTTTGGCTTGATTGTTTCTTAGAAATTATCTAACCAAGCCTTTCATTTCATATATGAGAAATAGAGGGATTAAAAAAGTCAGGTATGCCTGGGTGTGGTGGCTCATGCCTGTAATCCTAGCACTTTGGGAGGCTAAAGCGGGAGTTTGAGGTTGGGAGTTTGAGACCAGCCTGACCAACATGGAGAAACCGTGTCTCTACTAAAAATACAAAATTAGCCAGGCTTGATGGTGCATGCCTGTAATCCCAGCTAATTGGGAGGCTGAGGCAGGATAATTGCTTGAACCCTGGAGGCGGAGGTTGCGGTGAGCTGAGATTGCGCCATTGCACTCCAGCCTGGGTAACAATTGTGAAACACTGTCTCAAAAAAGAAAAAATAAATAAAAAAGAAAGCAGGTGATTTGTCCTAAATTTAGTTAAAATATTAAAAGAATACTTTTCACTTACACTGTTTGAAATTCTCTGTTAATGTTAAACTCTGAGACGATAATTTTGACTATCATGATGCTAAAATTATAAATGACACCTATAGTATTGAGATCTTTAAGATAGATTTTTTTTCTTTTATTCTGAATACAAACATAAGATACATGACAGATGGTAAAGGTGAAGAAATATACAAAGGCCAAGAATTCTTATAGTTTCTTTGTATTCTTAACATTTGTTCTAAATTTTGAAAATTACTAAAATTACAACACATATTTCTTAAAAAGAATTTATTCTAGGTTTATCATGAGATGACAATTTATAGCTGTCATTTATCTTAACAGGTTGAAGAAATATGGATGTCAACACGAAATTGCTCATCAGCATTATTTCTACCAGCTTTTTTACCTTTCAGCTTCTCTTCTACTTTGTAAGTTACTGGTTTTCAGCAAAAGTTTCTCCAGGTTTCAATAGTCTCAGCTTTGAAAAGAAGATTGAATGGAACTCAAGGTAAAGCATATGAAAATGTAATTGATGAAAAGAAACTAGTTTATTAGATAAAATTATCTAAAATATTTTGAAAAGTCTTTCATTTAGGATCTAATAAAATGTAAGGCCAAATTTTTATTTGATCTTAAGAATAAAAGAAAAAAACAAATAGATGATCTCATACAAACTAGTTTAAGAATTCTTATATTGAAAGATGTTAGGAGAAATGTATTTAAGTTTCTGGGGAGGTGTGTGAAGATGAACTAGACTCCAGCTGACTGCGGATGAGTACTAGCACTTTCGTGTTCTTTGGAATATTCATAACAAACATCTTCTTTGAAAATGATGATGGAAGAAAAAGTTGTACTTTTAAGTAGCTTATACCATATAGCATTGGCCAACTTAGCCAGGCCTGGGGCAATTAAACTCTACACACCGGTGACCAAAGCGTGCAGTACATATGAATCTTTTCATGAGCTTTGCATTATAATTTAGAGCCCTCCAGCATTTATTTTGTTACATAATTTTAAAGTAAAAATTGCTTTTTAGATTTCTTTTAAAACAAAAAAGTAAATGGAGAAAGAATTAGACATCTATTCATACAGAAATCTGCTGGAGTTTTAGTTATTTTTATTTTATGTTTTTTTTTGAGACAGAGTCTTGCCCTGTCACTCAGGCTGGAGTGCAGTGGCGCAATCTTGGCTCACTGCAGCCTCCACCTCCTGGGTTCAAGCGATTCTCCTGCCTCAGCCTTCTGAGTTGCTAGGACAACAGGCATGCACCATCATTCTCAGCTAATTTTTGTATTTTTAGTAGAGACAGGGTTTCACTATGCTGGCCAGGCTGATCTTGAACTCCCGACCTCTGGTGATCCACCCACCTTGCCTTCCCAAAGTGCTGGGATTATAGGCATGAGTCACCACACTCTGCCAGAGTTTTAAAAAGTTGGTTGCAATATTTTTGTGTGTGTACGACTCATTCATCTCACAAGATTTCCAACACAAAATGGCTCAGATGACTGCTTCACTTGCTTTAGAGCATTTTATGTGCCCAAACATTGCTGCGCATTTGTAAACTTCGGTGAGTTGGAGGAGCTGTGGCCATATTTTTTGTTGTTGCTATTTAGTTGAAGTTAATACTAACTATAAAATGCAAGTCTCTAAAGTTTGCTGTAATTATCTTGCCTGGAAATTTCCTTTTAAAATTCAAGAAATTGTTAGTATCTGAATATTTATTTGAGAATGGTCATATTTGACTTGAAATTCCCTTTTTTTGAACCAAATTGGTTTGCAGGCATCTACTTTTATAACTCAGACTGTGAATTTAAGAAGACTCTAGTTGTTTTCTTTTGCACTTTACAATGATATATCAGGTTCATACATGCCAAAGTTCTTTTCAGCCAGAAAGCAAAAATTATTTCTTCACATATTTTCAAAAAAAAGCAGTATGATTATTTTGTCTGAAGACTAGCACAAAAATATTGTTCAAATGTGTTATGCTAGAGATACCATTACTTTAAAAAATATTTCCTAACATATGAAGGTAGATGGAATGGTAGCAAGGAGAAGGGGGTACATAAATTCTCTGATTAAATTTTGAACTATTTTCACTTCCTTTTTACTGTGGTTAGGATAGGGAAAGGTATTTGAATGTTAGGTAGCTGCAAGTCAAAGCAATAGGGAGGGTACAGAGAGATAGAAGCCAAGACGAAAATGAAATGAAATTGAAAAAATATTTCGCGTTATCTAGTCTTACCACTGCCATTCTGTGATACGGGAAATACCATTTGGGAAACTGAGTTTCTATTTGAAAAAGGAGTCTGGGATTATATAAAATTCATTTAGGTATTCAATGGTGTTTTCTCTTTCTCTGAAGGTTGTTCCTGCTTCTCACTCCAGCTTTGTTTACATAGGACTTAAGCTGTGAGGTGGAGTCCAGAGTAGGAAAAGGAGGCTATATTTTGTGTAAAGTATGTATAAATGTCTTAAAAATCAGCCTCCAGTTTGAAAAGTACAGATAAACACACACAATTCTTTCTAGTAATCAGGAAAGAGTCTCTGAACAATGAGTGATCCGAGCCATCTAGTATACAAAGAACTGGAGGAAAATCAACTACTGGAAGTGATCACTTGAGAGACAGCAGTGTGATTAAAAGTGAGAAATTTCTGTACTTACTTGCAACTTTTTCTGAAAAGGTATATACTTACAGGTGTTAGATCTTATTAAAAATTTTTCTTAATTATTTATATCCAGTTTCTTACCTATCACATCAAAAGTCTTATTGTGTTGAAATACTGCTAATTTTTTAATCTTTCTCTAAAATTGAACTCTTTTTGATTGAGCTATATAATTTCTGTTGTTATTATTTACACTACTCGTGATTAAATCAGTAACTTAAAATTGCTCTTCTAAAATGGTCATTAACCATTTCTTTAGTGTGTTGTCTCTTTATGTGTACAAACATTTCTAACCTCTGAAAAAAACTGAAATATTTTATCTTGGGTAGCATCTTGGAATTTCTTTTCAGATACTAAGGAATCTGATATTTCATTTGCTAGGACTGATCTTAAAATATAAAATTTTTTTAACAGAAGTTTCTGAAAATATAGACTTTTAATACGGATAGTGTATGAGTGAGAACAGGGTATTTGTTTTTCCTCTTCATTGTAGAGGGAGGTATTTGACCGGACCAAGTAACATTTAAGTTTTCTATCCTGAGTTATATACCATTTCTATCAGCTAAGGGCTTAGAATGTTTTTCATTTACCATATAACTTCTCAAAAGAGAAGTGAATCTGAGGCCTGAGTGTCAGAAATTAAAAGTTAGGGTTTTTTTTTTAAAAAGGAAGCTTTCTGACTATGGTTACGAAACAGTAAAACAAGTTAGTGAGAGAGGTTATATATTTTTTCTTTTATAGAACTTTTGAATAATAATAGAGAGCTGGCTGTATGATCATTTAGATGGAGTGTTTTGTTTGATATCAAGGAACTTAACTTTTTTTTTTTTTTTGAGACAGAGTCTCGCTCTTATCGCCCAGGCTGAAGTACAGTGGTGTGACCTTTGCTCAGTGAAACCCCTCCCTCCCAGGTTCAAGCAATTCTTGTGCCTCAGCCTCCCAAGTAACTGGGATTACGGGCGTGTGCCATCACACCCAGCTAATTTTTGTATTTTTGGTAGAGATGGAATTTCACCTTGTTGGCTAGGCTGGTTTCAAACTCCTGACCTCAGATGACCTGCCTGCTTTGGCCTTCCAAAGTGCTGGGGTTAAAGGCGTGAGCCACCACATTCGGCCAAGGAATTTACATTATTATCCTGTGCTCAAACAGAATACTGCATTGCTTGGCATGAAAATTATAGACTTGTAAATCAGATAAATTGTATTAATTATTCACGTTTCAAAATGATTCTTAGGTATTATAAATGTTACTTGGTCAATGCCTTTAAATTAGTGAGAATCTTTCCATATTTAAAATATGGCTTGATTTAGCATGATAGATCTATGTTGTAACACGTCATCTATTAGGTCAAGTATATTGGTTTTTCAAGTTGCAATGAAATTTTCTGATACCAATCCTAATATTAGTTGATATATTTTACTTACTTTTAAAGATCTGCGAGCATATTGTAGAGAAAAATTTATTGCACACCTGTAATTTTTAGAGAGAAAACTTTGCTGTTTCTCTCATCTTTTATCCTAATGAAGAGAAAAGAAGCTTCGTTATTTGTGAACTTCTTTATAAAGATGTGAGAAATCTGAAATTGTTGGGTAAAAAACTTCGTTGTGTGGATAAATACAGTTTCCTGAATATAGTTCTTTAAGTAACATAATATAGAGTTTGAGAATTGGTCACATCATTAAATTTATTAACAAGATATATTCATAGAAACTGATGGTTTTTATGTTAAACTTATTCCTTCTGTAAAAGAAAACTTGATCTGGATCTTGAGAATGTTGTGCTTTTACTTGGGTGTTTCTTTTAAAAACAAATTTTCTGTATAAATTCATGGTCCTCAATTTCTCTATTTAGAAGTGTTTTCATAATAATGATAAAGAGGCACTAACAATTCCCTCGCTTTCTTACAAATTTGTTACAAGAATCAAGTGCAATAGTGCATGTCAATTTACTTTAAAAACTGAAGTCTCCCAAAAAATATATCTTCATGTTATGATCCATTTGAATTGTTTTAAGGATACGGAGTTTGTTAAGGTCAGTAGATTGGAAGCTGATTGGAGCAGGAAGCAGGAAACTTATCCTGCATTGATGCTGTTGGGGCTGGAGCTTGGAGCAGGGTACAGGGTAGTGGGCTTGCCAGTTGCCATCTGCCCACACAGAAGTCTGTCAGCTGCATCATCATGTATGCATCTGTCTGTCTTAGGACTTTTAACCAAGAAGTGATTCAGCTATTCTCCAGCAGGAAATTGTAGGCCTCGGTATCTTCCTCCTTCTTTATTCCAAAGTAAAACTGTGGCCCTTGGCTTTCTAAATGGCGATTTTGCATTAGACTCTCCATTATACTCCACTCTGGTATATAAGTGCTTCAAGGTGTAACTTGTTCAGAATGTTCTATGTCTTGTCAGAATTAGTTGAATTTTATTGCAAAGAAGGTAAAATCTTTGTGTTTCATTTCAGGGTAGTATCCACATGCCATTCTTTGGTGGTTGGTATTTTTGGCTTGTACATTTTCTTCTTTGATGAGGCTACTAAAGCTGATCCACTTTGGTAAGCCGTTTCTTTTTCTAAGATTGCCAATTTGATTTATGTTTTGATATTAATTATTTATAAGAACATCACTTACTTTAAAACTGAAAACATCGATGGCATATGCGTTATTAAAATGCTTGTGTTCAGACATTTCAGCAAAGTGCATTTAAATGATTTATTTTAGATTTGAATACAAATGAAGGCCATTTTGCCTCAGTGTAGCAATTGTTATCCCAAACAAGGAGAATATAATGATAATTTAAACATTTTTACTGTGTTGATGAGTAAAGCAAAGTTATTATAATCACGGTTCTGAGGAAAAATAAATGATTGAGATAGGATAGTCAACTTGGATAATGTCTACTTAAGACTTCTTTGCCTCCAATTTATGTTTGACTCATTGTTTGATATCAAAGAGATGAGAGTTACAGATGGCCATGTGAGAGGAATTTAGTACCCCAAGATATGAAGCACATGCCCTGATAACTATGTTCAGCAGTAATAGGATAACATGTAAGATGGTTCTTTTAGAAAAACTTAAATGTCATTCCAATGGCAGACATTTTGCAAACTGTTTCCTGGTGTTACATGAGAAGGCTTAGTTCAGCTTAGTTTGAGAGAGGAGGCATGTTTGAAGAAGCACTGCATTGAGATGTAGTTGTTGTGGGCTCAGGGATATAGAGTGATTTAGCCTGGTTTTTTGACCACCACCATTTGACTGCAAGGACTTTTAAAATTCAAAAATATAAAATTATTCCCATAAGAATTATATCAGTATTGATACATTTTCATTGGGATGCTGTTTTTCTTTTTTTCCTTTTAATTAATTAGTTAATTAATTTATTTTTGAGACAGAGTCTCGCTCTGTTGCCAGGTGCCAGGCTGGAGTGCAGTGGTGCGATCTTGGCTCACTGCAACCTTTGCCTCCCGGATTCAAGCAATTCTTCTGCTCCCAAGTAGTTGGGACTATGGGCATGCGCCACCACAGCCAGCTAATTTTTGTGTTTTTTTTAGTAGAGACAGGATTTCACCACGTTGGCCAGGATGGTCTCGATCACTTGACCTTGTGATCCGCCCGCCTCGGCCTCCCAAAGTGCTGGTATTACAGGTGTGAGCCACTGTGCCCAGCCTGGTAAAATTATTTTAGTAAAACTTTTAGCTAATATTTGTAAGAAATTATGGTAACCATGTGGTTAGAAGCATTATCATAGTTAAAACAATACTTTGTGCATTGATAGGTTTAGAATAGGATCCCGAATTGATAGGAGACACTTCTTAGGTAACTTAATACATTGGAGTGTCCACTGTAGTTGGCCCTTAGGTATACTCTAAATCCGTTATAAATGCCACTGGTGGTATGAAGGATGACCTCCCAACTTAAAACAAAACAGATGCTATGCTGTGCCCTGGATTTAGGGATTCTGGGAATAGTTCTAAAAACTTAAGTTGGGAAAATGCACTGGATACTATTAGTCATTCCCAAGAGGTCTGTTCCTAATATTGGGGACCTCAATATGAATTGACTTTAGATACTTTAGAAGATTTCAGCCTAGTTTGAATTCTGAGTTGAAGATTTATCCTCAAGGAAAATTTGGAGACTAGCTTAGTGCCAGAGTAAAATTCATGGAAGGCATGGGCTCTAGAAGATCTCTTCATTAAAACAGTTCATCTCGGACAAAAAGGCTGGTAGATTTCCTGGGAACAGCATCTTTCCCCTAACACCAGTAGCATAGGATGCGTCACGGTTTGGTTAAACTGTCATTATGTGTTTTCCAGTGTTATTTGAAAATGTCAGCTTACCATTCGAGAATCTATAGAAAGCAATTTCGTTATGTTTAAATCTCTATAGAAAAAAGAAGTAGCAGTTATCTATAACCTATATACTTAATAAAGGAATCTTTTTTTTTTTTTCCTCCAGGGGTGGTCCATCACTTGCAAATGCAAATGTTGCTATTGCTTCAGGCTACCTCATTTCTGGTATGTGAGATGTTGTTTTATTACCTCATTCTTTTTAAACTACTCACAGAATTATACAAAGAATACAGACTCTGTGCTTTTGGTTTATTTGAAACATAGCTTTTAGGACACATGCAGAGGAACAAGTACCTGCCATGATGGTAGAACATGAAATGTCTTTTCATGAAATGGCTTTCTGGTTCTCACTTAAGATCAGAGTCACAGAGTGAGGCCTCAAACAACTGAGGCCTGGACATTTTTTATCAGCAAGGACATGGTCCCCTTTTGTCGTAACAAGGCTTTCAAGTGTAGTGACTGTGAGGCTAATGAAGTTTGACTTTTAGGGTCCCTCACTTGCAAGAGTTCTTGAAATGTGTTCCAGTAGTCATGGTTTTGTGTTTTGGTAAAATTTGCGAAAGTGAGCCATTTCAGCTGTAGTCAGTTAAGGGGATGAACTTTTTCTACTCCACATTCTCCTCTTATTTTACCTCATGTTGGATGGGGTTGGAGTTGCCTTTTTTTTTTTTTTTTACAACGAGGTAAACGAGAAGTTAAGAGTATGTTATTTTAAGTGGAATTTGAAAAGACATTTTGGATTGTTTCAGTAAAACATGAGAAATAGCAGATCCCTGATTTGGACATTTTTATAGGGAACCCTATTTTATAATTTTTAAACATGTTAAATAACTGAAAGAAAATACAAATAAAAATAATGGAATATGAAATGAAAGTGATAAGTAGTGAACTTAATAGAAAATTGCCTGCCATTAAGCAGTGAATTATAACAAAAAATTAAATTATGCCAAAACACCATAATTGGTTAAAAAACTAGCCAAGTGTAGTGATGCATGCCTGTAGCCTCAGGTACTCATGAGGCTGAGGTGGGAGGATTGCTTGAGCTCAGGATGTAGAGGCTGCAGTGAGCTGAGATTGTGCCACTGCATTCCAGCCTAGACAACAGAATGAGAGCTGTCTCTAAATAAATATGTAAATGAATAAGTGAATAAATCAAATAAGGAAAATGCTGTTGGGTTATTTGTTAGACCAAAGAAGAATGAATCATGTGAACACATTGGGAAAAGATTTGCTCATTTGATACAAAATGCTGTCATTGCCAAGGACAGCACAATACTCATAATATGCCACACACGCTGGTTAATAAGTATTATCAATTCAGAGAATTGATAGTCTCCAGTAAATCTTGTATGAAAGAAACTTAAGGTTTTCTCAGATAAGATAATAATCCCCAAAAACTTAGAAACGAGTTATGAACTGAAACAAACTTTTCTAAATGAAGCTGAATGAAAATTTTAAAAATTCTTTCTGTAGAAGATATTACAAAATGATTGTCTTATGAATTGGTGACCAAAAGATATACAGCCAAAATATGTACATAAATATATTTAGAGAGGATGTATCAGGCAGTTAATTACTAATAATGTTATATTACTTTTCTTGGTTTTTCACATTTGCAGGTTTTCTTTTTTCTTTCTAAAAGAAAATCTTGATGATTTCTCTTTCTAAATATCATGTCTAGGTTTGTATTAGTAATGAGAAGGTCCTCATATAAATTCTGACCCCACAAAACCTGAATCCTTCCCTGATATCCATTCATGATAGCTGTTTGTTTCCATGTCTACATTTTGTGTTTAACTATTTGGTTAAAAAAAAATAGTTTTGTTAACATTGAGGAATTTTTTTTTTTGAGATGGAGTCTAGCTTTGTCGCCCAGGCTGGAGTGCAGTGGCACAATCTCAGCTCACTGCAATCTTTGCCTCTTGGGTTCAAGCAATTCTCCTGCCTCAGCCTCCAGAGTACTGGGATTACAGGTGCATACCACCACACCCACCTAATTTTTGTACCTTTTTTTTTTTTTTAAAAAGTAGAGACAGGGTTTTACCATGTTGGCCAGGCTGGTCTTGAATTCCTGACCTCAAGTGATCCACCCACCTCATCTTCCCAAAGCGCTGGGGTTACAGGTGTGAGCCACCATATTCTGCCTTATGGAGCAATTTCTATTTTATTAAAGTAAACTAATTACTTTCTGAGTAATAGTGTTTAACTTTAGAACCTTTTTCTTTGTTTTTCTTTTTAGTAGTTATAGTTCTTGGTGGCATCATTATTTTGAATTAATATTTAGTTGCATTCTTTTTTATTTTTAAAGTATTTTTTGTAGAATTTGTTTTATGAGTTGATCATTTTGTACCTTCCCTATGACCATCTTATCTGTTTGAATTATTGTAGTGACAAAAATCAGTCATTTAAGCTTATTTAAAATTATTTCTATTCAATACTGTTTTTTGTTTATTTTTACTCTGGAAGCAAGTTATTCATTTATGTTTTCAACAAATATTGTATTACATATAATTAAGTTGGTACAAGGTAATTGCAGTTTTTGTCATTAAAAATAATGGCAAAAATCGTAATTACCTTTGCACCAACCTATATGCCAGGCCTTGTGCTAGATTCTGAGAGTATAAAGATGCTCATAACCTAGTCCTTGGTCTGGAGGAGCCACAAGAGAGTGGGTGCGACAGGCATATAGGAGCTGAAATTTTATGGCAAAGTAGATAATTACACTGACTGAGGCATGAACAAAGTGCCCTGGGCTCAGAGTGGACAGTGATGAGTTGGCAGGAGAAAGAGTTCAATATACTTGAAAAACAGTGCAACTTTCTTCTTAGGTAATACCTTACTCACTTTTTTTTCTTACAGATTTGTCCATTATAATTTTGTATTGGAAAGTGATTGGTGACAAATTTTTTATAGTACATCATTGTGCGGCCCTGTATGCATACTACTTTATACTGGTAAGTTTCAGGATTTTCTGTAGCCTAACTAGCAGACAAGATTGGGAATTGTGATGTATGGGTGAACATAAATCTAAACATATAATTCTTAGTTTTTAATGACCCTCTCCAGATGCCTTCAGGGATTGCTTTTGTGATATGCTATCTTGTGTAATTAACTAAAATAATAACTTTATGTGTGTCTGTGTTGGTGTGTCTGTTTGTATTCATAGATTTTGAGACAGGCAGATGACCCTAATTCCTTGAATTTTAATTCAAAACCTTCAGGGTTGTGTAGCTATAGTTATTTGTCTGTCTTTCTAGATGCATTTATGATTTAACAGCCAGGGAGATGAGCCAGTGAAAATATTTCTTTTCCGCTTAATTCCATGTGCAATTACATGTATATCCATAATTACATTTAAGTAGGTTGGAGCAGTGGGGACTTTATCAGAATTCCAAAACCAAGGTTATTAGAGGATTCCTCTAACAGATCTCAGGCAGTAAAACATATTAAATTATATATCTAAAAAATTTTCTACATATACATTTATAAACTAGCAACTCTATATTCCTTACGTGTTTGTTAGGTTTCTCTAGAATCAGTTATTTTTTAACATAGATAAAACAACAAGCTCAACATAGATACTGCAACTGCAATTTTTTTCCTAAAGATGGTTGCATTTTTGATGTGTCATTCTATGTTCCATTGTTATAGTATAAAATTTATCTTTTTAGGTGAATCTATTCATAGGGAAACCAAACAGAAGAATTAGGTCAAATGATGAATATTAATAGATGCTGTAAAGATCCCGTGGTATTTACCAATCTTAACAGTAGTTACTCATTGACTATAAGAAGGTTTTTTTTTTTTTTTCCATGCAGTGAATTCCCAGGTCACTTTGTGCATTTTGTTATTCTAAGTAAGGCTAACAAAAATAATAATAATCATTATAATTTTTAGGGACAAATGGTCATGAAATTCTTATCACTTATGTAATAATGAGAACTTGTATTTGGAAAAGGCTTTGACTTAATACTTATGTAACCGTTTAAGCTATTTGCAGGAAGCTTTTTTTTTCTTAAATGATTTTGTTATTAGAACAAAGTAAAACTTAAAGTGACAAATAGAAGCAAGTTCCCTGTAGGTTTAAAATGTATCCCTGCTGAAGAAATAGTTGCAAAGTAAGATTCATTGGAATTTAAGGTACTATAGGTTATGTAATGTCTTGATTGCTATTTTTGTATCTCTCTATATTTATTGAAGTTTTAAAATTCTCTGGCAGAGTAATTTAGAGCTTAAGGAATTTTCTTCTGTCTATAGAGAGAGGTACAAATCCTACAGCATTTTTTCCCTGATATTCACCTTTCACCCCTGGAGCAGGATACTAATTATCAAGGAAAGCATGACAAGCTGATCTCTTATTTTAGGAGAAAGGAACACATTCATGCTTTAATCTTCAAGTTTTAAGGACAAACTACCATCCTTTGTACATCCTTTCTGACTGCTTCGGTAGCGTTCGTTTTTTTGTGTGTGTATTTATTTCTTGTGAATCACCTTCTATCTCCAGTTGAACCATGCCTTTAGATAATGAGTTAGAATATATTTGGAAAACATTTAAACTTGAAAGTCACTGAATATGCTTCCATTTCCAAGTCCACTGTATTATTACACCACCCCTGAATCTGAGCATTAAATCATTCTGCTGCAAGTTAGGAAAAAACTTGGTTCAAATGCTTCTTAGTGCATTCGTTTAGGGTTATTAGGTGCACTGTGATGCCTTAAAGGTGAAATTTCTGTTTCTTGTTTAATGCTTTACCCCAATATGTGTATTTTAAAATCATTTGGCAAGCAAATATGTATGAAGCAGTATTAAAAATGAAAGATTTGTCATTTTAGATTCAGCAAAGTTGTAATTAACAGGAGACAAGCATTAGAAAAATATTGGACTTATGTTTAGTTTAAAGGAAACTCTCCATAGAAATGCCATAAAAAAAATGCCATGACTTGCCGACATTTTTATTATTAACAGTGTTAAAAAAACTCTCCTGTTTTAAAAAGATTTTAATAGCATTGATTGTTCGCAGTTACACACAACTACTATATTTCCTCCTTTTCTTCCATTCAGATAGCCTTAAAAATAAATTTTAGGTAACTATATTAACTGTTGTAGCAGTATCTCAAACGATAACAAAATTTCAAAAATTAACTAGGTAGATTTAAAAATAGCCACCTAATATAGCTTACTAAAGCAAGATTTGATACTCAGGTCTGTGTGATTTCTAATTACCACTAATTTTATATTTAATAAGACATGTTAAATATTAATTACTGAAAAATATTTTAAAAACTCAAATAACAATCCTTTTCTTCTTGAAACAAAAGATTTTCAACTTTCTTATACAGTAATGAGCAATACACTGGCAGAATTAAGTTGATAATTAATTATTTTGTTAGTATTTCTATAGCTCACTTATAGAAGTCTATATAAAAGCACAAATGTACAGTTAGTTTGTAACTCTTACTACTAATGGAGGGATTAGCATGGCAAAACTGTTAGGTGGTCAGTTTCAAAAATATATGTATATGTGTTATATATTTACAACAAAATATATGTATTTATATACACACACATATATACATGTATGTGTGGTTTTTTGTTTTGTAATTAAAATTTAAATTTTAAAAAATTTACTTTTTGATATAAAATATCTGATGTGACCATTCCCATAATTTCCGAATGTAACAAACTCCTGTAAGGCCTTCCTCACTGTTGGTGTAGGAAGATTTCCAGTCTGGCTCTACCTACCTTCTTTACCCTGTGGTTACTGTTTTATGTTCCTCTATGGGCATAGGGTGTCTTCTCGGATATGTGTAGTGGAATTACCTTAGCAGAGCTGTTCCGCTTTTTTTCCTCTAATCTTGTTTGCTTTTTGAATCCTATTTAACTTTCAATGCCAGAAAAGAAAATAGGTTGTAGATTAGATTTGGTGTGCAATAAGATAGATGTCAGCCAAGAAGATCGCCATGTCCACCTAAGTCAATAATTTGCTTTTAAGTAGATTTTTAAAAACGAGCATATCATATGAATCTTTTTATATCAGGTAACTAGAATAATCAAATTCATAAAGACAGGAAATAGAATAGTTGTTGCCAGGGACAGGGCAGAAGGGATAATGGGGAATTATTGTTTAATGGCACTGAGTTTCCATTTGGGAATATGGAAAGTTCTGGAGATGGATGGTGATGGTGGTTGTTTAACAAAATGAATGCACTTAATGCCACTGAATTGTATGCTTAAAAGCTGTCAAAAGGATAAATCTTATGTCATATATACTTTACCATAATAAAAAAGTTAAAGCAAGCTTATCAGATAACTGAAACAAAGGTAGGAAAACTAATAACATATTGGACAAGGTATTACCTTTTTAAAAAGGCTTCATATTGGCACTGTAAACTGAAACAAATGGGTGGAACTTAATAGTGATAAATGTTAAGTTTTGCATTTAGGTTCAACAAAGCATAAGGATAAAGAATGACCTGGAGGTGGTAGATGACTGCATCTCAGTTATGCCAATAGTATATCACATCTGCTAAAACAGAAAGCTGTTTCAAATTTAGATGCTATTACGGGAGCCATGATACCCAATTCACACATAGTTTGCCTGGTCAGACCACATCCAGGACCATCATCATCTGAAGTCCCTCAACTTCTGTGAGAGAGCTGCCAGTTAACTGTAGAGAGGAGATACTAGATTAGGTAGCTATTGTCTTATAACAAATAGCTGAAGGACCTAGAGATGTCAGCCTAGAAAAGCTAAGAACTAGGACATGCTGGCTTTGAAATGTTCCTGGAAATGTGAAAGGACTACTAAGTGGAAGGGGGAGTAGACTTACTCTGGATTAATTAAGATGTTGGGACTAAGACCAACATCTTAATTAATGTGGTGGTAAAGAGAGGTAGGGGAGACTTCTCTTTTATAGAAGAAAGGCATCCTCAGTGATTGGAAGATTATAACAATAGAAAGGCCTTTTAGAGTGGCAATTCTACCATAAGATAGCTTTCATTGGATAGATATACAAGTAGATACAATAAACAGAAGTTGTAGGTAGGAGCTTGCATTAAATAGTCTTTAAGGTTCTATTCGAATTCTGAGATTCTGTGATGGAACTGTTTTGTTGAAACGATTTGATTTAGTACTAATGCAAGAGAACTAGGCAGTGGGGGAACTAACAATAAGCCAAGTTATGTCACCAGGTTCTTAAGTGACCCTAGGAGGAAGGGGTGAAAGCAGCTGGCCTGGCAATCCATTCCCTTCTTTGGGGAACAGAAGGGGAGAAAAACAAGGCACGTGGCCCAATCGAATCTCCTTGTCAACAGGACTTAGGATAAATAGAGTACTGATGTGTGTTAGGAAGAAGAAACTTTAACTCTAAAATGCCCTTAGCAGGGTGTCCTTGGGTAAGGACTACCTATAGTAAAGAGAACCCAGTATCTATAAGGCACAGCTCCTGGGAGAAGGTCATGTAGGCACACAGCAAGGAAAGAAAGGCCTGGGTTGCCAGGGGCCCTTGATGTCCCAGACCTCTCTCTGCTCCACTTGATTTATTTGATGGTCTCTATCTTTGTAACATTTAGTAGAGCTTAATTAATGCTAGATAAGAACACTGTTTCACATAAGTCTGATTTGACAGTCCACGGCTGTGTGTTAGCTCAAACCTTCATCTCTGTTTTATAATAAAAAACCTTGAATGATTAGAATTAAGCCAATAGTTATTAAATATATTAATAGATTTTGTTTCCAAACCTCAATTCTAGGTTGCTGGTACTCTGAAACAGTTTCCATTAATAGTTAATAGACTGGCCCAGAGTCTCAGCACATTTCCATTATGCTGAGACTCTGGCTCAGTCTGTTACCTATTAAAAAATGCCCTATCATTGCCACTTTAGAACACAGTCACATTTTTACACAGGATTCCAGTTTGGGAGGCCCTGAACTTATTTCCTACCAACATATAGTGCAGTGTCGGGTAGTGCAGCGGAGTGTAATGTAGTGTCGGGTAGTGCAGCGGAGTGTAATGTAGCGTAGTGTAGTGTAGTAGGGAAAGGGTGCTCATCGTTGTCCAGGCCTTTAGAACAGTATTTAGCACCATACTAGCAGTAGTAGGTGCATAATTTAGTTCTCTTTTAAACCTCTGGTCTTAGCTACTCTTAGCTGGTAGAAAAAATTCCCATAGTAAGAAAATCCAGACTTCCGTAATTACTTAGCAGAAGGAGAATTTTCTTTTAAGCTTCGGAAGGGATCCGACAAATCCTGTTTTGTTTTCCCTCATAGTCATGCAGAGGCCATGGCAAATGTAGATTTTAGTCTATGCAAAGCTCCTTAAAGGTAGATGACAGAGCAGATACACTACACTGACCATGAGTCAGTTGTGAGTTTCGTCGTAATTCACCAACAATAAAGTATCAGAATTTGTAACTATTTAAATATATTATAGAAAGATTTAATCTTACGCCTTTAATAGCATCTATCTCAATTGTATTTTAGCAGGTTTTCTTGAATAGGAGAGAAAAGGATAAAGTAATGAGGAATTACGCATAACCGGAATCTTATCTAATGGCCACCTATGCCGATGCCGATGGAAGTATATGTCACATACGATGCTATCTGTCATGGGTGTATTAGATTAAATGAGCCCAGAGTCATTGATATATTGATGGTGTACAGGATTAGAAAATATAGAAGCAAGATTACTGAAGCACAGTTCTACACCCCAGTGTGACTCACAGAGGGTTTTTTTTTAACTTCTTTTTTTTTTTGCCAATCAAACTCACAGGACTTTTTTTTTTTTTTTTTTTTTTTTTTTTTTTTTTTAAAGATTTCTTTTCTTTTTCTTTTTTTCCCCGACTGCCCGGATCAACCAGGTATGACAGAGGTTGTGAACTAAGGCAGGTGGGAGGTAGGGAATAATGATAGGATAGAACCTGTGCTTTCCATTAGGGATTTAAGAATTAAATATAAGATACTATGTAAAAATTAAAATGTCATCCAGGGATCAATCAGTAATACCATAGTAATTTAAGGAATGGAAAGATCGTTGTGTTAATTTCTGTTAAAATTTTTTTGGATATAGGTATTAGTTTAAAAAAATTGAGTTTGTAGAAATACAGGGCTTAGTAAATAGAATGTTTTCTAGGTCTGATTCTCCAGAGATAACTGCTGATAGTACTTGATGTAGATTCTTGGAGTTTCACATAAATGTTCATATGTATATTTATGCCTTTAAATTTTCTAAGAGAGCTTTTGAGCTAGGCAGGATTTAAACTAAGCCTTCAAAAATACACATATTTGTATTGGAAAAAAAAGTAGGGAAAGCTTCCTAGGTCAGAACACATTTTGAGGAAAGTCACTGGGGAGATGTCAGATCTTCACGGGTGATATTGAAGACTTGGGCTGTCAGGGTATGGGATTGGTGTAGACATGGGTGATGGCTGTACGTTTGGATGAGTAAGGTAGGTCCACCTGATAGGTGGAGTGAAAATTCAAACTCACTAGCCTTGCATTTTTGCTTTTCACGGAATAGTTGTAGGATATTTAGCCAGAAAATAATTTCATACAGTTGGCATGTTAGAAGGATAAAACTGATCATGATATGCAGAAAAAAATCTGGTTGGTGGGGGGAGGATATCTTTTAGGAGGTATTTGAAGTATAATATAGGTGACAGATTACAAAGAAGTTAATTTTTATGGTTATAGCAGTGGTTATATTAATGAGGAAGAAACAAATGAGTCATTTTGCAGTGAGTAGAGCACAGTATCTAATTTGGACTTCAGAGAAGGAAGGGAAAGAAAAGACCAAATGACCCAGAGCACTAGAGGAAGATGACACCGTGGAAGGAAATGGGAGAAACAGTTTAGGGAGATACTTTTAGATGTTAAGAGGTTTTTGGAGATATATGGCTGTCCCAGGGGAAAGTGGCCCATATGCCATTAGAAATGAAGCTTTACTTAAAGGACAGTGCAGTCAGTCAGGGTCAGGGACCAGAAGGAGGATGATCAGGCAACTCAGAAGGTAGAAAGAGAACCATAAAGGTATACATTTGGAAATCAGTGGTTTCCAAAAGCAATATTGGAAGTGTTATTCCCTAAAAGCAACATTGTAAATAAAAAGCTGTGATAAATATTTTAAAAGTTATTTAGGTAATTCATTTTTATTTAAGGATTAGGAAACATTGACAAGCAGAAAGAGAAAATGATGCCCCAATCTCACAGCCTATATAACTATCATATTATTTACTTACTTAACATTTACATTTAGGAATGTCCTTTTTTCCTATATGCATATGTGTATAAGTCAAAATGTATAAGTCAAAAACAGCATTTCTCATATATGTGTATTATAAAAATGTGATCAAAACTAAAAAAAAAAAATTGTTTTTGAGAAGGAGTCTTGCTCTGTTGCCCAGGCTAGAGTGCAGTGGCACGATCTCGGGTCAGTGCAACCTCCACCTCCCAGGTTCCAGCAATTCTCTGCTTCGGCCTCCCCAGTTAGCTGGGATTCCAGGCACCCACCACCACGCCCAGTTTATTATTCTGTATTTTTAGTAGAAACTAAAATACAGATGTTGGCCAGGCTAGTTTTGAACTCCTGACCTCAAATGATCCACCCACCTCGGCCTCCCAAAGTGTTGGGATTACAGCATGAGCCACCGCATCTGGCCAAAACTCAAATTTAAAATTTCACTTTACGTATTGAAGTGGTTCTGGCGATCTTGGGTCAGAAAGCAAGGAATCTATCAAAGATTAATGGGACTGTGTCAAAAAGACGTAAGATCCAATATGAAGGCTCTTCTGTTGGCTTAAAATGTGACACTTTATCAATTAGAATAATGACTGTGGTTGATTGAAATCCATTGACTCATGAGTTCTTAATAATATTTTTAAAAAATGAAGGGAGAAAGCAAGCCAGCTGGGCAGTCTGGCTTAATGTCTCATGTAGGTGATATTAAATGGCAGTCGAGTCTGGAATCATCTAAAGGCTCAACAGGGTTGAATGTCTAAGAAGGGCTCATTGGTGGGAGTTCAGTGGGAGAGTATCTATATGTGGTCCTTCCTTGTAGCTTGGGCATCTCAAAGCTTTGTCATTGTGTTCTGAAGAACATTTCAAGAGTGATTGTTCCAAGTGACCCAGGAGGAAGCTGCAAGGCTTCTTAGGACCTGGCTTCAGAAGACTTACTACATAGATAACTCGAGTATGTTCTATTCATCAAGTGAGTTGCTAAGGGCAGTTCAGATTTAAGGGGTGGGAAATAAGACCTCCTCTTGATATGAGGAACATTTTGCACATACAGGGAGGTAAGGAATTGATGTGGCCATGTTCAGAGACTATCCACATCTTGATTCGTTAATGTTGGATAATAATGTTAGATAGTATTTTCTTACTATGGTGGACAAGAATTTAACTTTCATACCCCTATTTGCCTTTCATTCGTCTTTCCAATGTAGTTAGGGAATGCTAGTTGTCTTTCAGTTCCTTTTAAAACCTTTAGTATTCTTATTTCTGGTCCTACAGCACCCCTTGATACTTAAAACAAGTTTTGTTTTGTTTTGTTTTTGGGGGCGGGCAGAGTCTCGTTCTGTTGCCCACACTGGAGTGCAGTGGCACTATCAGGGCTTACTGCGGCCTTGAGCTCCCAGGGCCGAGCGATCCTCCTGCCTCAGCCTTCTGAGTAGCTGGGACCACAGACATTCACCACCACAGCTAATTTTTGAAAAATTTTCTATAAAGATGGGGTCTCCCTACATTGCCCAGCCTGGTCTCAAACTGCTGCGCTCAGGTGATTCTCCTGCCTCAGCCTCCCCAAATACTAAGATTACAGGCATGAACCACCACCCCTGGCCTGATACTTTTTTAAATGAAGGTATTAGTGCCTCTATTTTTTCTTCTACTTCTCTAACTTCGGCGTTGCTTCTCAGTTTTTATCACTTGTACTTGTGTATTGCTGAGATTTAAAAATATCTACTTTGTAGTCTGTAATCATATAAGTTTTTCTTTGCAGCCAGTTGATCTACACATAGAAAATCAGTAGAGTATTTATTATGACTGCATTAAACTAGTTTGCTGCAGGACCCGGATTACATTTCCTGTGTCATTTTTTTGGAGTTTTAATTGCCTTCCTTTTTTTTTTTCTCCATCACTTGCCTTTACTGCATATTTGAGTAGTTTCATATTCTCGAGGATACGACTACATCTCTGCAACCGTCTTTTCCCAGCTCCCACGTACCTGCTCCAGGAGCTCGCTGTTCTGCCGCAGTCTGAACAGATTGCTCTCTGGGCTGCTGCCCGGTCATTCCAGTCCTGGGCTGAAGTCACTGTTTCCTCAATTCCATGTATTTGACTTTCTTGTTTATTCACTTATTTTGCTGCAGCATATCCTCAAATGATATCTAAGAAAGTGAAGGAAGTAAACTCTGAGCCTTTTGCAAGTTCTGAAGATGTTTTCATTGTCAGACTATTGGTGGCATCGCCTCTATTGGTGGCATCGTCTCTATTGGTGGCATATGGATATGTAATAACATTTAACCAATGCCCTATTGTTATGTTTCAGTGGCATAGGTAACTTTGAGTGAATATCCATATATCTTCCCATTTGTGCACGTGAATATTTTCAAAGAATAATTTTGTTGAGTGCAATTCTTGGGCATATATATGTATGTTTTGAGGATATTGATTCATTCTGCCAAAATTCTCTTCAGAGAACCATTGTGTAAGTGGTTCTTTTCATCAAGAGGCTGGTTGATTTCTGTTGTTTGTTTTGTTTTTATTTTGTGAAGACTGCAGTTAATAGGGCTCAGGAACTCTGAAAAGGGTTGGCTAGAAGCATCTTTACCTGCGCAATGTGAAAATGATAAACATATGACTGTCTGCAAATATCAGAAGGTTTATATGAAAAAGAGATTGGATTCAATTAAGTTTTTTGGATCTCGAGGATCAGAAGTAGGACAGGCAGGTGGAAATCTGAGAAAGCGGTGTAGTTTTGGGACTTTTGAATAGCAATCCCACGATGCAGTGAGCTGCTTGTGCTCCTCACCATGGGGTGATCCACCCTAAGTTGAAGGCAAACTGGAAGAGCTTTTGTGGATGGGATTTAAAAATCTGTGGGTGATAGAAACTAGGTAATTTTCAGAGGCCATTTCAACCGTGCCACACTGTGGTATGATGAACATAAAGTCATTATGAACACAACTAAATTTGGATTGGGTGAAATATAGTTGTGCAAAATGAGATGCAAAGCTGACAAAAACCATGGGGTCAATAAAACAGTTGAGTTTACCCTTAGAAGTATTCATTTTCCTTTTCATCCTGAGTGTTTTTCTGCAACAAGCAGAAAGTAACATTAACTGCTTTTTGGGGTGATGTGCTCACGTGAGGTATCTTTTCTAATAAAATATTTAGCAGTGTTCATTAGCAGTGCATCTGGTCCTTCCTGACTGTAATGATCTGTGTAATCATCCATTCCTTCCCATCACCCAGGCCTGATTCAGACCTGTGTGGTCACCCCTGTGTCAGTAACTAGATGTGAATGATTGTACCTAGGCAGGAAGGAATAGACCCATTTAGGTCTTTTCTTTATAATTGTAATAAGAACATTTACCTGGTTCACTTGTTTTTTAGAGACAGAGTTTCACTCTGTCACACAGGCTGGAGTGCAGTGGTGCAATCATAGCTTGCTACAGCCTTAACTCCTGGGCTCAAGTGATCCTCTTGCCTCAGCCTCCTGAGTAGATTATAGACACATGCCACCATGCTATTTTTTTTGTAGCTGTGGGGTCTTACTATGTTGACCAGGGTGGCCTGGAACTACTGATTTCAAGTGATCCTCCTGCCTCAACCTCCTAAAGTGCTGGAATTATATCTGCGAGCCATTGCACCTAGCCCTTTTCCCTCTTTTGAGTGCCCTTTCTGTTTTCTGTTTTAGTCTTTTTCCTGATTGCTATCAGGATGCATCTCATTTTCACAGCAGTCTTGCTATAAAGATGGAATTTTGCCCATTTCACAAATGGAGAAACTAAAATTATAGTGTTACCCAAAGTTGCCACAGAGCTAGGATTCAAATGCTGTCCTCCATACCACAGGTCTATGGTCATTAACTGTCTCTGCCTCTCAAAACTTAATTGCTTTTAACTGTCCCCACCTCCTGAGACATAATTGCTTAATTATAATAATGAATTGCTCAAATAGAGTAAGGTTTTTTTATTTGTTTTTTGTTTGTTTTTTGTTTTTTTGAGATGGCATCTTGCTCTGTCGCCCAGGCTAGAGTGCAGTGGCACCATCTTGGCTCACTGCAACCTCCACTTTCTGGGTTCAAGCGATTCTCCAGCCTCAGCCTCCTGAGTGGCTGGGATTACAGGCGCCCAACACCATGCCTGGCTAATTTTTGTATTTTTAGTATAGGTAGGGTTTCACGATCTTGGCCAGGCTGGTCTCAAACTCCTGACCTTGTGATCCAGCCACTTTGGCCTCCAAAGTGCTGGGATTACAGGCATGAGCCACCACGCCCAGCCAAAGTTTTAAAAAGACTTAAGCTAGTCAGTTTTCCAATAAATAATTCTGGAAGTTCTACTGTCAGCATTGGGATATAGTAGTGGTGATCAAGTGGCATTCCTAGATGCTTCCATCTATTGGTTAATTTTAATTATCTCATTTTATATTTTATGAAGTGATGAAGACGATGATGGTAGTAATGGTGGCCATATTTAAATGTATTACCCCTTTATAGATTTATTGGGATAGGATCAGAGGAATTTAGTAATAGGCACAAGGTCACATGGCCAGTAAGGGCAGAGCTATAACCCTGGTTTGTCTTTCTTTTACGCTACATCCTGTTGCTCCTTAGTTTGCTAGTGTGCTCGCTAACCGCCTGCTTCCAGATGTTTTACCTCTGTTACGCAGGCCCCACATTCCCCTACGTCTTCTGCTTGCTTATCCACTTTTACCAGCCTTGCTTCACTAATCTAAATATATCGGTGTTGGAGATTAAATCTTTAGACTTTTTTTTTCTCATAACAAATTTGATAACCTCTAATTCTGTTCCACTAATATCTTTATGACATTAAAATCTGGATGGTTTTCTCCTTTTCTTTTGGAATGAAATGTGAGGGTTTTTTTTGTTTTTTGTTTTTTTTTTCTTTAAGAGACAGGGTCTCACTAATGTTGCCCTGACTGGGCTCAAGTGATCCTCCTGTCTCAGCCTCCTAAAGTGCTGGGATTATAGGCATGAACCACCACGTCCAGCCAAAGGCTAATATTCTCATAATCCTCTCACCCATTCGGAAATATGCCTGAAGGACTCTTGGGGTTTTGACTTTAGAGGTGATGTGCTTGTTTAACAGCACTGAGAAGGCAAGGTTCAACTCAGGAAACATGGGGCAGGCGCTGTGCTAGGCTTTATGGGTATAATAGTGAGTAAGGCACATGAAATGTAGATATTTGCAAGGAGCTAAGTACTCTAACAGATAAGCAAAGAGATTGCGGAGACACTTGACTGAGTGTTCTCTCAGCTAAGAGTTAAGGGGTCAGGAAAAACTTTTCTAGAGGAATGTAGCAGGTCCACGTTAAGAATACTGTGTAGTCTGAGGTGGGTGTTTGTAAACCTTTGCTCAGCACAGTTTCTAGCTCTTTGTGGCTGAGAGATCACTGGCCATTTGTAGGCTAGGAAAGCACTTCTCCCACTTTAATAGAGCTTGGAATCACCTGGAGGGCCTTCAAAACACAGTTGCTGGTCCCTCTCCTCATGGTTTCCCATTCATTATGTCTTGTATGGGGCCCAGGAATATCTATATCTAGCAAGTTCCCAGGTCATGCTGATGCTGCTTCTCTGGGAACTACACATAGAAAACCACTGGGCTAGAAATACTAGAACTAACCATTCTCTTTGGGAAGAAGAGAAAGGAATGAGAAGGGCCAGGATGTTATGCCCAATTTTTTTAAATTCAAAAGACAATTTCCTCAAAGCATGGAAGATTTGCACTTTGTCCAAAGTTGTTTAGATGAACATAACATCAAATTTATCATTTTTACAGTGACTCTTTTGATACTTAATGAAAATAATAAAGTCGGGTTTTATCTGATACTAATTTGGTCCTTTGGTTAATAGTTATAGTTACTTTTAATTCTTTATCTTTTAAGGAGTTGGAAGAAGTAATCTTTTAAACTCTCCAAAAAGGTATTATATTTCATGTATTTTTTTATTTTTAAAGTTAATATTAACTATAGAGAAATTTTTAAAATTTTTAAAATTTTGTTTTGAGAAACAGGGCCATGCTGTGTCACCCAGGCTGGTGTGCAGTAGCTCACAGAAACAACCGGAAACTCTTGGGTTCAGGTGATCTTCCTGCTTAGCCTTCTGAGTAGCTGAGTCAGACTATAGGTGTGCACCACTGCACCCAGCCTAAAATGGTTTTTGAAATTTAAGGCTAAGGCTGTTGCTGCTATATTATTTTGATATTTTACATGACTTTTGGGAGTCTGCTTTAACATTCTTTATAAGTTGTATAAAAATAAATTTTGGTATTTGGTCTCATCTTTGGAAAAACTATTTATTTGAAGGATACGGTAAGAAATTTAGCAAGGATTTTGGCTGAGCTTAGGGACATATTAACTCATAACATTTTGCAGTAGTCTGGTCTGTCATGTTCTCTAAACATTGAACATAGTTATGTAGAATGCCACAGACTTAGAATAACTAAAGAGAATTGTTAGAAAAAATAGATCAGAAGAAAAATCACCTTTGAGGAGAGAAAGTCAATGTTATGAATGAGAGAATTTATACTTAAGGAATAAAAAGTTCACCTTTTTTTTTTAATGCTTCATGTTTATTACATACATGAATCTATCTTAGTGAGGGATTATAATACAAATATTTCTAAGATGTTTATGTCTGGCTCAAGTAAGAATCTCATTAAAATAACCTTTTCCTTGCATTTTTTTTTTGTCCCCTCAAGAGTCATATCTAGTTGTGTACTATTTTCAAAGTTCTACCTTGCCCTAATTCACTATTGAATTTAACTAAAGGTAGCAAAAAACAGAACGTTTTATTTCTCTTACTTTACTTGGATTGTCTATAATTGAACATAATTACTTGTTATTTTAACTTCTTGTTAAATATTCCAAGCAATTCTTTTGAGAAAACTCACCTAAACTTTGAACAAATCACCAAATTTTTAAATTAAAAACGCACTCAAATACCTAAGGAGTTTGAAATGTAAATGGAAATTTGTTCCTTATTATCTTCAAAGTGCTTCTTTATGCTGAATAAATTAGAGGGCTCAGACATTTGTGCTTTTCTCATCCTTCTGTTTTTTTTAGCTGCAAATGTGATTTCTAAAATATATTAAAATGAATTATTTATTATTTTTAAGTTTTTTATAGAGATGCAGTTTCGCTATGTTGCCCAGGCTGGTCTCGACCTTCTAGGCTCAAGCAATCCTCTTGCCTCGGCCTCCCAGTGTTCTGGGATTACTTGTGTGCGCCACCATGCCCAGCCTAAATGCATTCATAATAAAACAAAGATGAGAGTGGCCTGTTCAGAGCTTTCCTGGTTGTACCATTTTTACCACTGAAAATCCTGTAGCCCAGGAGACCCCTTCCTGTGGTACAAAAAAATCATGGCAGCTATGATTTGCAGTTTACAATAGTGGATCATCCACTGATGCAATGCAAGGGTGATGTAATTGTGAGCAGTAACAGTCTATCATTGACTTTGCCCATTGCATTAACTGCTGTGATTTGTATTGACATAGTGTTAGTTTAACTTTCCACACTGTGAATACTGTGACTGCATTTTCTCAGAGTTCAGATAATGAAAATGAGAACAGTTACGATATCAACACCAGAGTGTCCCAGACATTACTTACAAGGAAAGTTATTGAATATGGAAATCTATCTGTTATTTTATATATATTAGTATATAATGGTATGTTATAGACAGATGGAAAGACAGAAAATTAAATTAGGGAGATAGATAAGCAAAACGGAACATACTGCACAACAGACAGGAAAGAATTTGGGACTGGGCGTTGTTATGGGTTGAATTGTGTCCCCTCCAAAATCCATAGGTTGAAGTCCTGACTTCTCATACCTTAGAATGTAACCTCAGTTGGAAATAGGGTCATTGTAGATGTAGTGAGTTAAGATGAGTTTGTATTAAAATATGGTGGGCCGCTAATCTATGTTGACTGGTCTTGCAAAAAGGGGAAATTTGGACACAGACATGCACATGGGGATAATACCACATGGAGATTGGAGTTAGGCTGCCACAAGCCAAGGAACTGCAGGAAGCTGGCAGAGAGTCCTGGAACAGATTCTTCCCTAGTGCCTGCAGAGAGCGCATGACCCTGTCAACCACTTGGTCTTGGACTTCTAGCCTCCATAACTGTGGGACAATACATTTCTTTGCTTAAGCCACCCAGTTTTTGGTACTTTGTTATGAGAGCCCTAGCAAACTAATATAGGCTTGGTCGAAGAGATGTGTGAGTACCTAAGGAGACTGTGTCTCACAAGTCTGGAGTAAGACAGGCAAGCACATCTAAATTGATCTGTACTTCTTCCATCTTGTTTAAATAAAAGCATGTATTATAACAGAAAACTAGTATAGACTAATAATTTCAAATAAATACCTATTCTTTATATTTCTGTGTTACAGTAATAAAACCTGTGCACAATTCTTTCTCATAAGTTGTTATATCTCTGGACTGGTATGGGCAGTGCCCTGGTTGACTCTGAAAAGTCGGTCACCCGCTGTGCGCGCAGTACTCCCCCTGCCTGCTGTCTCTGTCTTTGGCCATCCCTCCTTCCTTCTGCCTTATCACACATTCCAGTATTGCTAAGGATAATGAATTTGTGATTATAAAAAGTTTTAGATTAACCTTGTTAAAGGTAGTTCTTAGAATCTAACTTATAATTTTGAATCCCTAAAATAATTTTCATGGATAAATATTAAAAATCATCAATTAAAAAGTTCACCTGTTTTTTAAAAAAAATGTTTCATATTCTTCTCATTTGGAAGACAGCATGACATAGCCAGTAGAAAAATCGTTGCCAAACTTTCATGTATATCTAATGTACTGGGATGGGGAGGACTATTTTCTTTGGCATGTAATCATAATTCTGATTTAATTGCAAGTGCTAGAGTGACTCCATTTACTTAGCAATTTTTAAAGTATATTAAGTAAAATTTTTAGAGTGCATACTTTTGGTTTTCTTTCCCATGTTTATTAACTGTGCTAAACTTTTCATATTATTAAATTGGTGGGATGTATTGGGTATTATGCTTAAATTTAGAAAGATCCCAAAGATCCTAAATTTAGCTCTAGGATCTTCTGATTGGCAAATATATTGTTCAGAAGAAACATGGTGGCATATGTTGTCATAGTGGGCAAATATACCTCTGCTCACAGGCTTATGTATTGTTATTTAGGATAAGTGTTTTTTTGAGATTTTTAAGATGCTTCCACTTAGTAATGGATATAAAAGTGAGTTCTTATTAGGTACTGAATTGTTTTAAAACTCTTCACCTTCTGAAATTCACAGTACTTTGTGATCATTCTTTTCTACAGTAATTTCAAAATGCTATCACTAATGGTTATTTACAGAGTTAACTTGTTTAACATGAAACAACTGCTTGAAGCCTATTTTCACAAGTGGACACTGTATACATAAGTGAACAGAAGTGTATAATTTACTGCTTTTTACAAATACTATAGAATTCTAAGGATCTTTCTGTATGAAGAATATCAGTTTGACAGTAAAAGGTAGAAAACTTCTTGATCTGTTTTGGTACTGACTATTATATTATGCTGAGAAGCTATTGGATATTTCTGTGGTATTTGGGAATTTTGTTTAGAATGTTATCCTTGACATTGTGTTTTATGTTTGTCATCCAGAAAGATGGAGTGCTGGCATACATTGGGAATTTTCGCCTGCTTGCAGAGCTTTCCAGCCCTTTTGTGAATCAGCGGTATGATATTGATATTATTGATTATCTTAAAGTCATGCTGTTCATTTTTAGTTTGGACAGATCCTTTTCTGTGATCCTAAAGTTACTTTATGAAAGATGCGGAGGCCAGGCTCAGTGGCTCACGCCTGTAATCCTAACACTTTAGGAGAGTGAGGCAGGTGGATTGCCTTGTGCTCAGGAGTTCCAGACCAGCCTGGGCAACACGGTGAAACCCCGTCTCTACTAAAATACAAAAAAAGTTTGACGTGTGTGGCGGCATGCACCTGTAGTCCCAGCTACTTGGGAGGCTGAGGCAGGAGAATACTTGAACCCGGGAGGCAGAGGTTGCAGTGAGCCGAGATTGCGCCACTGCACTCCAGCCTGGGTGACAGAGTGAGACTCGGTCTCTTAAAAAAAAAAAAAAAAGATGCAATCTGTGAATCTGTGATATGAATTGTTATCACCATCATACAAACGAGGAAAGTGAGCCTTGGAAAAGTTAGAGTAACTTACTAAAGTTTCCCTAGCTAGGAAGTGGTGGTGCTACCTTTTAAACCCTGCTGTTTGCAGGACAGTGATGCTTTATGATGCCTGCTTCCAGCTCATTCTTTGTCCCTCCATGTTGTACACTTCAAGATGAACAGTACACACTGAATCTTAGAATTTTGTTTATGGAAAAGGATAAATATCACTCTGGCTCATTTTGGGTCTAGTTCATATTCTTAACACTAACTTCCTCCTGTCCCCAAATTCTTATACCGAGATTATCTTAGTGCCTTATTGAAAAACATAATGTTTTTATTTTTTAAATGTAAAAGGGTACTTTTGCCTGGGCTCAGGGGCTTACATCTCTAAATCCCAGCACTTTGGGAGGTTGAGGCAGGAAGATCACTTGAGGCCAGGAGTTTGAGACTAGCTTGGGTAACATTGTGAGATACCATCCCTCCAAAAAAAAAAAAAAAGAAAAAAGAAAGAAAATTAGCTGGGTGTGATGGTGCGTGCCTATAGTCCTAGCTGTTTGGGAGGCTAAGGCGGAAGGATTGCATGAGTCTAAGAGAGTAAGTGGTGAGTCCAGGAGTTTGAGCTGAGATCCAGCTTGGGCAAAACAGAGAAACGCTATCTGTAAAAAATTATTTTTTAAAAAGATTACTTTTAATTTAAATATATAACAATGTAAATAACAATTTGTAATATTGATAGCCATCATTAGGGAATTATTATTTGATGGAGATGGAGTCTCATTCTGTCGCCCAGGCTGGAGTACAGTGGCACAATCTTAGCTCACTGCAACCTCCACTTCCCAGGTTCCAGTGATTTTCCTTCCTCAGCGTTTCAAGTATCTGGGATTACAGGTGCCCATCACCACACCTGGCTAATATTTGTATTTTTAGTAGAAACGGGTTTTCACCATGTTGGCCAGGCTGGTCTTGAATTCCTGACCTCAGATGATCTGCCCATTTTGGCCTTCCAAAGTACTGGGATTACAGGCATGAGGCACTGCACCTGGCCCATCTCAACCATTTTTAAGAAGATAGTGCAGTTGTGTTAAGTATATTCACATTATCGTGTAACAGATCTTTAGAACTTTTTCATTTCGCAAAATTGAAACTCTACCCCCATTAAATACTAAATCCCTCTCCTGCAAGCCCTAGACAACTACCTTTGTACTTTCTCTTTCTATGATTTGATTAAATAATTCACATGAATAGAATCATACAGTGTTTATCCTTTTGTGCCTGGCTTATTTTGCTTACTCTAATATCCTTGAAGTTCATCATGTTGTAGCATGTGACAGGATTTTCTTCATTTTAAAGTTTGCATAATATTCTCTTGTATGTATAACCCATTTTCCGTATTCATCCATCCATGGACATTGAGATTACTTGTACCTGTTGGCTGTTGTGAATAATGCTGGAATGGACATGGACATACAAATAATTTTTGAGACCTTGCTTTGAATTCTTTTGGATATATTTCTAGAAGTGGGACTTCTGGATCATATGATGGCCCTCTTAATTTTTTGATAAAGCTTCATACTGTTTTCCATAATGCGTATATCTTTTTACATTCCCACTAACAGTGTACAAGGGTTCTGATTTCTTCACATCTTCATCAGCACTTGCTGTTTTCTGTTATTCTGATAGTAGCCATTCTAATGGGTGGAGGTGATAACTCATGTGTTTTCTTTTCTGTTTTGTTTTGTTTTGTTTTGTTTTGAGACAGCATTTCTGGTTCACAGGCTAGAGTGTAGTGGCATGATCTTGGCTCACTGTAGCCTCAACCTCTCAGGCTGAAAGGATCCTCCCACCTCAGCCTTCTAAGTAGCTAGGATTATAGGCCAGCTGCTTAGAAAATTAGCCACCACACCTGGCTAATTTTTGTATTTTTTGTAGAGATAAGAGTTTCGCTGTGTTGCCCAGGCTTGTCTCCAACTCCTGGGCTCAAGCAGTCCTCCCACTTTGGCCTCCCAAAATGCTGGGATTACAGGTTTGAGCCACTGTGCCCAGCTGGTCATGTGGTTTTGATTTACATTTTACTTTGATTCATGATGGGGAGCATCTTTTCATGTATTGGCCATTTGATTTGTATATCTTTGAAGAATTGCCTGTTCAAGTTCTTTGCCCATTTTTTCCTTTTTTTTTTTTTTTTTTTTTTTAAATGCAGTTTTGCTTTGTTGTCCAGTCTGGAGTACAGTGGCGCAATCTTGGCTCACTGCAACCTTCACCTCCTGGTTTCCAGTGATTCTTGTACCTCAGCCTCCTGAGAAGCTGGGATTACAGGCGTACACCACCATGCCAAGCTAATTTCATATTTTTAGTAGAGATGGGGTTTTGCCATGTTGGCCAGTCTGGTCTTGAACTCCTGACCTCAAGTGATCCTCCCACCTTGACCTCCCAAAGTGCTGGGATTACAGGCATGAGCCACGGCACCTGGCCCTTTGCCCATTTTTAAATTGCATTATTTATTTTGTTGTATTGGTTCCTTCTGTATTCTGAATATTAATCCTTTATCAAATATATGAAAAAAAGCATAGGTTGCTTTTCCACTCTGCTGATTGTTTCCTTTGACGTGAAGAAGTTTTAAAGTTGATGAAGTCCCATTTGTCTCGTTTTGTTTTTGTTGCCTGTGCTTTTGGTATCATACCCAAAAGATCATTGCTAAGTCTAATGTCCTGAAGCCTTCCCCCTATATTTGTTTCTAGGAGTTTCATAGTTTGGTCTTATGTGTATGTCTTTAATTCATTTTGAATTAATTTTTGTATATGGTATAGGGGTCCAGCTTCATTCTTAGAATGCGGCTATCTAGTTTTTCTGGCACATTTGTTCAAGAGACTGTCTTTTACCCATTGTATAGCATTGGTACTCTTGTTAAGTCATTTGGCCGTATGTGCCAGGGTTTGATTTCTACAACAGCTTTCTAACTAACTTCCCTAATTCCAGTCCTCTCAGTCCTTTCCTCACAGTGTTACCAGAATCATCTTTCTTACATTTCACTTTCAGTACCTTATTTTTCACTAAAAACTGCATCCTGTTTATACACATATCTCTCTGACTTCTGAAGTTTGCTGTGATGTGCTCCATATGTCTTCAGCCTTTTTTTTTTTTAAACCATTCATTAGAATCCGTTTTGTATTCTTACTGTCTTAAGTTCCTTTGGGTTTTTCTCATATTTCTTTCTTCATTTATATCCTCCATTTTCTCTCCATCTTTGAAAAATTTATGTATCCTTCAAGTCTTAGTCAAAATCTAAAACCCAGGGAAGGCTTCTATGATTATATGTTGTCTCTTGTTACTTAGTATAGGGATAACACAGAAAATTGGAGTATTTCACATCAGAGATACATGAGTTAGAGTGCTTACCCTGAATTAAGACTCATGAAAAATTTCGAAGATGCTGGCCATCGGAGGCACAGGCAAAGCAGAAAGAAATACATTCAGGGCCATTGATGGGATCGCCAGGTCTGTGTGCATAGGGTACACTCTGGAACGAGATGACTTGTGAGGTCTCTTTTTAAAAATTATTTTTTATTAAAATTTTTGTTGAACCACTAGACCACCTGGGAACCTGTGAGGTGTCTAAGTGATGTGTGCAGTTCATATCATTGACATAGAATGAGCTCTCTTGGTGACAAAACACCTCCACTTAATCTTGAGTTACATAGCTTATGTGGCATTCTCGAGGGGGTCAGATCTCATAAATCCATCCGTTCATGGGTCATTTACCATAAGCAATCCTAGACTAAGTATGTTCTTCTAAAAGCATCCCATAGATGAAGACTCTTGTGCTACAAACTTTATTAGTCTCTCAAGAGGTCTGGCATTAGTGTGTTTACTAGGTGATTAGCCTGGATCAGCTGTCTTTTCTTCTTCTTCTTTTTTTTTTTTTTTCGTTTTTTTGGACATGGAGTCTCCCTTTGTTGCCCAGGCTGGAGTGCAGTAGTGTTATCTCAGCTCACTGCAACCTCCACCTCCCAGCTTCAAGCAATTCTCTTGCCTCAGCCTCCTGAGTAGCTGGGATTACAGTTGTCCGCCACTACATTCAGCTAATTTTTGTATTTTTAGTAGAGATGGCATTTTACCATGTTGGCCAGGCTGGTCTTGAACTCCTGATCTCAGGTGATCCACCCGCCTTGGCCTCCCAAAGTGCTGGGATTACAGGCCTGAGCCACTGTGCCTGGCCGTTTTTTCTTTTTCTTTTTTTGAGACAGTCTCACTGATCTTCTCCCTGCTTCTCTCTGGGTGAGTTCTTCCCTCCCAAGGTTTCAGCTCTTAACTATTTACTCATCTTGGTGGAAGGCACTATGCCTTAGTTTTGGAATCAGATAAACTCAAGTAGCAATTCAACTTTGCACTTACTTGCTGTCACCTTGGACAAGTTACTTAATATCCCTATATTACAGTCATTGTCTCTATAAAAACAACATATTTAATACTACCTACTTTGTATTGTAGTCAAGTGTTTTCTTCTCTCAGATGGCATGTTGAATCAACATGTCTAAAGTAACACAACGTGTTTCCCTC